GAAGTGTCATTATTGTCACAAAATATGAAACATATAAAAGTATTGCTACTAGTGGAAAAGTGATAATAAAGGCAATAAGGGAAAGTCTAAACAAAGATACCATGAATATCATGATGATGATTGTGTTATTACCACTACTAGTGATGATCTTGTTATTCTCCGTGATCATGAGTCTGTTAATCTTGTATCAGACGAGAGCATGTGGATAGTTGATAGTGGTGCTACATTGCATGTTACACCAAGGAATGATTTTTTCACATCTTATACTTCTGGTGATTTTGGAGTGTTGAAAATGGGTAATGATGGTGTATCTAAGGTAATTGGTGTTAGCGATGTTTGCTTGTAAACCAACATGGGAATGCAATTGTTGCTTAAAGGTGTCAAACATGTTCTAGATGTCCGCTTTAATTTGATCTCTATGCATATGCTAGATGATTGTGGTTATGATAATCACTTTCGTTCTGGAAAGTGGAAACTCAAAAAAGGTAACTTGGTTGTGGCTATAGTGGAAACGCTTTCTAAATTGTATTGAACAAAAGCTTTGGTTGCTAGGGATAATGTGAATGCTATCGACATGGAAGCATCTTTGTGGAACCGAAGACTTAGTCATATTAGTGAAAAGGGGCTGAATGTTTTGGCCAAAAAGGATGTTCTTCCGCAATTAAAGAATGTAGATTTAGAGAAGTGTTCATTGCATGGTTGGTAAACTGACTAGAGTATCTTTCAAGAGACATCCTCCCTCAAGGAAGTCAAAGTTGCTTCAATTGGTACATTCTGATGTTTGTGGTCCATTAAAGGTAAAATCCTTTAGTGGTGCACTTTATTTTGTTACCTTTATTGTTGATTGCTCTAGGAAACTGTGGGTTTATGCCTTGAAGACAACAAACCAAGTTTTGGAAAAGTTCAAAGAATTTGATGCTTTAGTTGAGAGGCAGACATGGAAGAAGCTGAAATATGTTCGTTCAGTCAATGATGGAGAGTATTGTGGACCATTTGGTTCTTATTACAAGCATCATGGTATTGCACATGAAAAGACTCCTCCTAAAACTCCTCAATTGAATAGTTTAGCAGAGAAGATGAATCGAACACTAATTAAGAGAGTAAGGTGTATGCTCTCTGAAGTTAAGTTGCCCAATCATTATTGGGGCGAGGCACTTTACACGGCAGTGCATGTTCTTAATCTCACTCCTACTATTGCTTTGAATAGTGAAGTTCCAGACAATATTTGGTTTGGATAGAATGTCAAGTATGATCATTTGAGAGTCTTTGATTGTAAGACTTATGTGCATATTATGAAGGATGAAAGATCCAAGTTGGATGCAAAGTCAAAACAATGTAACTTCATCGCTTATGGGCAAGATGAGTTTGGCTACAAGTTAGGGAATAAGCTTATTCGAAGCCGTGATGTGGTGTTTATGGAAGACCAAATTATTGAAGATATTGATAAGGTAGAGAAGGCTACACCCAAGAAAGATATTAGTTTGTCTAATATTGATCAAGTTAAGTTACCTAGTCATAATTTGGATGTTATTGGTGATGATGATCATAATGGTGAGCCATATGATTATGTTGATGATCAACAACTTGGAGATGAGGTAATATTCCAACTAATGGTGGTGAAGGAGAGAGTGATTTGTCACAGCATGAGAATCTTGGTGAAACTCCATAATCATCTCAAGTTCAACCTAGGAGGTCTAACAGGAAGACACAACCTTCTACAAGGTATAATTCTGATGAGTATGTGACCTTTACTAATGAGGGTGAACCCGAGTGTTTTCAAGAGGCCATGGAAAGTGATGAAAATTAAAAGTGGCTGGATGCAATGCATGATGAGATGAAATTATTGTATGATAATCACATTTATGATTTAGTGAAGTTGCCTAAAGGCAAAAGGGCTTTAGAAAACAAATGGATTTATAGAGTTAAACATGAGAAAAACTCTAAGTTCCCAAGATATAAAGCTAGATTAGTGGTGAAAGATTTCCGTCAAAGAAATGGTGTTAATTTTAATGATATTCTCTCACCTGTTGTAAAGATTTCACCAATTAGAACTGTGTTGAGTTTGTCTGCTACTTTTGATTTGGAGGTTGAGCAAATGGATGTGAAAACGACTTGCTACTCATTTCAAGTTGAGTTCTAATCAAAGTCTTTAAAGTGAAGATGAAGTGTTTCATATGAAATGTGTTTCTTATGCGTCTGTTGTGGATAGTTATTTGCTTCGCACTGAAGTTGCAAATTTAGGAAAAAATTTAGCTTTTTTATTCTTATTTGTAAGCTAGTTTACTTTGTGACTTGCGGTTGTTAACACTAGTTTGTGAATCACTTTAACACCCTCTTGTACCCTTGATCGATTATAGTGGAATTATTTCTTTGGTCTGGACAACTCGTGGTTTTTACTCTCATATTAAGGGATTTTCTATATTAAAAATATCGGTGTTCTTTTGTGCCTTTATTTGTTCGATTTTTCGTCTTACATTTGTTGTTGATCCTCAGGGTTCCTACTGTAAGAACAAGATTTGGTTCTACATCTGACCTTTAAGTTTTGATGATAACTGCACAAGTTATCTAAAAGAAAAAATGTGTATGATATGGTTTCTGTCTAGTGTGTGGTTGTTGTCAATATGATTTTGACTCTGATAAGAAGATGTGTGACGTCATCAGACTCTGTTATCAACACTCTAGAAGAAAAACATATGTATGAACAAGATAAAGTTATGATTCAGAAATACTTCTAATGCAACAGTTATAAGGAACGTTAGTAACGAGGTTTCTGATTGATACTTTATATGTAAGCCTAGAAGGCTTTACAAGAAGTATGCTTTACATTGATACAGTTTTGAAGATTCTGAAGACATAGCTCTGGTGAACAAAGCTCTGAAGATTCTTAAGACACAATTTATGAAGATCAAGTTCTGAAGAGTTTCTGAAGACAAGGTTCTGAATGAACGAAGTGCTGAAGACTCTAAAGACAAAAGTGCGCTAAATGAAATCTGAAGATGGAGGTTCTGAAGACTCTGAAGATAATGCTTATAAAAGAACAAGTGCTGAAGATTCTCAAGATAGATTCTGTTGAACAAAGATCTTAGAATTCTGAAGACTGAGGCTCTGAAGATTACACAAAGAAAGACTCTTTTATAACACGCTTCATCAAATTAATATCTGAAGCCTCTGAAGATACTAAAAGACTGAAGATAAGAATGGTGTTTAAGCTGAATATAATAGTACTAAATCTCTGTTACCTCTACCTCAAAAAGGTGGCGCAGAAGCAACTTTTTGTACAGTGATGTTGACCATTACTTCACATGAACGTTGAAATATTGTTGTTGAAATATGTTTCCAAGAATATCCTTCAACGGATCTATTCTCTTAAGCTCTATAAATAGAAAATCAAAAAGCTTGAAGAATTGCTTATTTGCAGAAAATAGATAGCAGGTTGCTGATGATAGCACGCTACTATGCAAAGCCAAAGTGCTGAAGAAAATGCTACAAGCTGAAGCCTAAATGAAGAATGTTCAATGAAGATGAAGCTGAAGCAAAATTGAAATACGTACAATGATGCAATATGCTGAAGTCATGTGAAACTAGTCATGTGAAACTAGTCAAGTGAAACATCAATAAGTGAAACATAGTAACTTAGTTGATCTTGATGGTTAAACTGGAAGAAGCATTATTCACTCAAGAAGGAGGAACCAAAAGAAGCCAAAGCTCATGATAAGAAGCCTTAGTGTTAATCAAGAAAGCTTTTAAGCAATACAGAACTAATTTTTTTTATAATCTCTCAGAAATTTCATTCTTTAGATAGCTTATATCTTACTTAGAAACACTTAGGTGTTTATATACTTCATATGTGTAATCAGCTTGTAAGAAACATATTAGTGCACAAGAAAATTCTTGAAAAAGGTATTGTTCCTTGAGCGGTTGTGTGATGACTAGGATGCTTGAGAGGGTCAAGTCATTATTGATGGCTTGAAGGTTGATTCCTTGATAGGCGAATGAATGTCAGAATTCTCAAGAAGGCAATGGAAGGTATCCATTGTGGTTGTAATCATTGATGATTTCCTTGAGCGGCTAAGTGAAAGCCATGATGCTTAAGAGGGCTAAGCGTGTTGGTTAACAATTTAGGAGTTGTAATCATTTTGACGATTATTGGATTAAGTCCTTGTGATAAGGCGAAATCACCTTGAGAAGTGGACTGGAGTAACTTCGTTAACCGTGAACCAGGATAAAAATAATTGTTATTTATTTTTATTATCATTATTACATTTATTATTATTATTCTGTAAAAGGGGACAAAATGTAAAACTCAATTCAAACCCTCTTTTTTTGTGTTTCTCAACCTTCACCTACAAGTTTGGAGAATTTAATATCTACTGCGTATTAGTCTATTATCGTGTCTTAATTTTCCATCATTACCATATCAAAATATTGACTAACTCTTGTTACTTATGTGAATTAGGGTTACATTGGAAAAAATAACATTTGTTCTTTTTGCTGTTAACTGTAAAATTCATTATTAGTTTATTTAGTAGAGCGAGTCTAAACACGTATCAAGAAAATTGCAATTTGTTTGATTACAAGTCCTTACTTTTGGAAGTTCATTCAATAGTTCAATATTTGATCTCTATATACAACTCTTAATACATTAACTCTAACCATTTTACTCTCTTTCTCTAGTCAAAATGAAGGCGTTTTAAAAGATAATGTGCAAGATTACACTAGAATACAACATGCTACAAGAATATTACAATAAGCCAGTTGTTTTGAAGCATCAAAAAGATTAAAAAATAATTAAAAGAATAAACTTGTTGTAAAACTAGAAAATCAAATGTGAAACTTTACACTCGAGTATCTTTTCCTATTCTGCGTTTGTAACCCACAACTTGGACAATAAATGCACCTCTATACATGTATCAACTACATATCCACAGCATACAATCCCAACTCACCATCAACCAAAGACAAGCAGAAGTAGAGCACGTATCTATTTAGCAGTGATCTGTTCATGGTTTATGTTGTGCAATTATCGATGATCGAATAGCTTGCTGAGGAGTCAGAGCTTTTCCGTTAACAAGCATTTGCTCATAGAAATCCAAGCGTATAGATTTGAACTGGTAATGCTATTTTTAAATACACAGGAATGAGGCAAGGTAAACCCTTAATCAGAAATGACTTGTTTTATTACAAAGAGGAATTAACAAATTATTGCATTAAATCAAGAATATCTTTGATAAAAGTGTACCTTCTCCTTCCAGGTAAAATCAACGTCGCGAAAACAAGGATCAAGCAATGTGAGCTGGTCTCCTCCTTTAATCTGGATGACATTTACAAGGGCTCATTTAATACTACATTAATTCTTCATTTGATAACTATAACGGTAGAAAGGAAAGGAAAAAAATTGCCCCAAAATTTTATTCAGCAAACAAGTACTAAGCGTGCTTAGATAAATAGCTTAATTAAACAATTATTTGATAAAAGTTTATCGTATAAGATGATATGTATAAGCTGTTTTTTTTTAACAGATGAAGAGAAGATAAGGATAAATATAAACTATTTTGACAAACCTATGAAAATAAGCGGAAAACTAACATATAGACACTACATAACTATTTTCAACTCTTTGAAAAACATGACTAGGAAGAAAACAAGAGAAGAAGTCATAAAACTTCACTAGCAATTCTTACCACATCCTGGCGTACACCATAAACTGAGAGAACAAAGCAAGTTTTGTTTGAATCACAGAGCAAATAGTATCTGCAAAATGACAAAGAAAAAGATCATCCAGGTCCAATTTCTGCATTCATCGCAACTATTCTCAAGATATATTAAATAACATAAAGGGCACGTAAATACATTCTGAAAAATTACAGTACCCCCAAACATGATTGGTATTTTCTGGAAACACAATGAAAAATATGTTTGAGGGTGTTGTTATTTTTCAAAATGGGCTATTGCTTAAACAAAAGATTATAGACAGTGAAAAATATGTTTCTGGAGCTGAAGACTTACAGGGGAGCAACACCCTCACTACTAATATAGAATAGCACCTTCCCCTCTACTGCTAGATCTTTATTAAGGCCCTCTGACAGAAGGTCTATGGTAACTGTTCTGTATGGCGATTTCACTTGCACCAGAATGCAAACATGAACCAATTCAGTATATTACTAAAATAATATACTATAGATGATGCCAGAACATTGCTTACAATTTACAGCAGCCAATGATGCTGCCAAAGAGTCGATTCGCTTAGCTCTTACAGGTACCTGTACATAATACATAGTATATAAAAATTAGCTGCCTCCCTCAAAATAAGATGATGTATTAGAATTGATTCTGGATGCATAGAATTGATTCTGGATGCATAGAATTGATTTTGACATGTTTGGTTGCTCTAGAGTAGAATTGATTCTACTTGAAGCTAGAATTGGTAGTTTTTTAGTCTAAACGTGATTTTTACACTGAAATTAACTGTTCAATCACTTTTGCAAGAATCTATCCAAACATAAATCACTCAACCTTCAACTCACTTTTAGCCAGAATCAATTTTACAGAATCAATTCACTTTGAATTAATTTTTTCATCGCAGAACCAAACACATGTGATTACTACAGCCCATCTCGGTTAAAAGGAAAAAATGGTATTTCAGAAGATAGCAAAATTGAAAAAGATCCCCCTATGATAAGATATCAAGCTATTAGGAAAAAAAAAGCTTATCAACAAATTACTGGCATAGACTATTACAACATGGCCAAAGAAAATTTCATTACCCTCAAAAGATTGTACACCTTGTCAAGTATATTGACGATTTTCTGAACCTCCTCTGCAGCATTGAGACCTGGATCCTTCAAAGCAGCAGCCTCAAATCCACTAAGAGCCCTCTCGTAGTTCTCTAGATATTTGTTCGCCTGAAACAAATTATTACCCAATACATGATTCATGCTCTATATGTGATTTTGACAATTAAATTTTACTCTTTTATAGTTTTATATGAATTCTGGAAGGCAGTAGCTGATAAACTGACAAATATGACACCAAAGTTACATGGGAAAAAAAAAAAGATTAAGCTAACATATTCGTTCATCTCAAATCTTCTCAGATATGGAATAGAAATGCAACTTACAGTGGCACTATTAAAGTAAAAATCTGGATTGGACTTGATCCCTTCATCTTTCTCCTGGTACATGTTGACGAAACATCAGGTCTTCCACACATTTAAATAAAAAGCCAATTCACTAGTACAAAATATAAATAACAATAATCTCCATTTACTTGAGAGTAACATGTATTCAAAAGGAAGATACATTTCTATCATATGCATATTATTGCAGCTAAAATTTAAACAATCTCTTCATACTCACGGCATTTTGATATGCTTTTAAAGAATGTGAAAGTCTGGTATGATCCAAACCTCCAGTGACAAAAAAACTCGTAAGGTATGCATTTCCAAGATTATCTGTCAAGAAGATCATATAGTCAGACGGTGTATGAAAGACAAAAAATGTGGCATGCTCGGTCACAAACAATGTACAAGGACCAGCATTACAAGTTTTAAGGAGCAAGTCTCTTAGGGTAGCCAGAAAAGAATAACTGGTTTCTTACATTCAATCACCACAAATTCTTTAGTATGAAACTCTTTGTTTGAAAACTTAAACAAGAATTTCAAAGGTTGGGTTTTCTAGGGATATCAAGGGAAAAATACGTATGACTGTATATTGGTTTCTTAAAAGAACCGAAGTTTTGGGACAAAAATAAATACCTAAAATGACTGAAAAACTGGGTTGAAAGGAGTAATACGTAAAAATTTGGCATAGTTACACAAACACTATCTAAAACTGCCATATCATATTAATGATTAGTTTTATATGTCAATACATCAAGTCATCAAAGTTCAGTTTTAAAATGTACAAATATATTTAATAGTAATAATAACAACAACTAATTAAAAATCTTACACCAAGAGTCCCCATCCTTGACATCCAAAGCAATTGCTTCCTTGGCATGTTGAATGCTTTCATCAACAAGTTCTGCTTGGTTATCCGCACCTGATTTCATACCAAGCACAGTGATGAAATAATATTACATCCCAGTTTTTCATTTTTCAGCATACAAGTTTGCATGCTCAAATTCTTGCGCATTATAAAACAGACTAAAGTAACCGCTTGCAAACATATTCTTTACCTCATGACCAGACCACAGGTTTTTTTTATCCTTTTCATGTTATATCCAGTCAAATTTTATTATAAAAATAGGTAACTTACAATTTTATTTTCTCTTTCCACTTTCGCAAGTTTCCACCATTCTCAGGTGCACCACTTTTCCACTGTCATCACACTCTCCCTTCATATTTTCATGCATACACAATACAATTGTGTACGCTCAAATTTTAGGGAATCGTAATAAAGCAAACTAAAACAACTACTTGCAAATATATTCCATACATCAAAACTACGGGTTTCTTTCTCATTTCAATAAATAATCATATTTGGGAGACCACTAATAAGGCAGCTTTGTATAACTGCAGGCAATCATAACATATTGCATTTTCGTAAGAAATAGAACATATTTTCTACAATCATAAAATCTTAAGAAAGATTTTGCGCCCATTTCTATGGTGAGTGAGGGATATTTTCTCTAGCTACTGCATTAAGAATGGATTAAAACTAACTATTCTATATAGTCAAATCATGGACTTGTTAGTATAAAATAACACTAAGTCATATTATATATGTAGATAAGGGCTAAAATGCTAAATCCAAATAACAGTGATTAAAGAAATTAGGACAACTGAAAAACAGGAAGTCTTAAAACAGAAAAAGATAAGAGAGGAATACCTTACCTTGAGACATTTTTCTTTTAAGCATTGATAATTGGCAAAGAATCTTTTTGTTAGGACCCTGCATAAACAACCAATGAAAAAGAAAAGAATAAACAACTCAAGATGTAGTGAAATAACTTAAAAGTATGAAAAAGAAAGAATAAACAACTCAACATGTATCAAAATCATTACATAAATTATGTAACATTGATACAAAATATACAGTTCCCATCAATAAAAACAACCAGTTTATGCATAAAAATCGCTGACAAATAAATACAAACCACTAAATGCACTTGGTTTAAGCCCTGTTTGACACACACATTAACAGTTATTTATTCCATTCCATAAGCTTTATTAACACAAATTATATAAACTGTTCTGGTAATATAAGCATAAACTTTTTTTCGAAATAGACAATTACCTCTTACTTTAACACCAAATGTTCCGGAAATTAACTTGATTAAGATTCTAGTCATACATCTAAAAATAGAGAGAATAGCAATTGGAGGAAAGACTTACACCATCATGTTTCTTCAAATATATCCTCTAAATTCTCATCCTCCTAGGGGGAGGAATCTCAGATTCTACAAGATCTAATGAAAACACCCATTCCTTAAGATCTAAGCATTCTACCTCACAGCTAAGTTCATAATAGAATTCTATTGTTATATGAAAATAATGATTTAAATCAAAACTAATGCAGTCGGGGACTAAGTTCATGTCTGATAATTATGGGGATTAAAAGAAAAATGATCCTAGGATCAGCAACAGATTGCAAATATTATAAAAAAAATGGCAATTTCAATATCTATCATGAAAATCCACAATCCGTTGTTACCTTGTTTAACGCAAGATTGAGGCAGTTCTTTGCTGCAGATAAATCTCCTTTTTTCCAAATACAGTTTCCTAAACATAGCCAAGCATCTGCATAAGACGGGTTCAACTTAACCTGGACCACAGAAGAAGCAAAACTTAAATAAATCACTTAAACAACAGTAGACGGTATCAAATCATATAAACTAATAATTCAGTCTTGCTTACAGCTTTTGATAGATGATCCTCAGCTTCTTTCTTATATTCGGGATATACATCTAACACTTTCCCTTTAAGATATTCAAATACAGCCCGTTGCGTAGGCGATTTTCTTTCTTCTGGAAAAAGAAGGCAAAACTTCAAGAACAAACTAAAATGAAACAAATGAGATAATGGGAAATATTTCTAACTTCATAGAGTCATATAGCATACATCAGTTGAAATATTAATCAAAACCTATCAAGCATGGACACCACCGGAAGCACTGACACTGACACTGATAATAGTTTCAAATAAATGAATTAATTAAATGTAATTATAACAACTTTTTTCATTGGTGTGAGTACTACATAGATCAAAACCTCTATAGCACCGACACCTTTGAAAAAAATGTGCCGACGTGTTAGTGTCAGTATTGTCGTGTTTCCGGGTGTCCGTGTTTCAAAGATCAAAACAGTGCAAGATTCCATTCTAAGTAACCGTATGGCAATTTCTCAGCAAGCATATCAAGATTAATTAACTAGCCTATCTGAGCTTATCAACCAGCATAAGCTGTTTTAACTTATTTTCATACACCCTAACATGCTACAAGAACAATCACTTAATTAAGTTGTTTATCCAAAAAAGACCTAAACAAGAAATGGAAGTACCTGGAGGAACGGAATCGAGGAGATTGAGAATGAGATCGGAAAGTTCTTGCAATTTGGAGATTCTATCGTTAGGGTTTGGGGGGAAATAGGTGTCTCGAAGAAAGTAAAGTCCGTCGGTGGATATTGCAGCTCTTGACAATGCTGTTGCTTCTTCTTCGCCGCCTGAGTTGTTCATCTTTCTCTACAAGCTTAAGCTCAGTTCTTGAACTTCAAAGACCAGAAACTCAAGTTAACTCAAACACTTCTTTTGATCGATCTTGGATTTTTATTTTTCTCTTCGATTTTCCGTTTGATTATAGTTCGGATTTTTTTTAAGTAATTCGAGGAAGGGATTTTAAGTGATTTTGTTGAAGCTATGTTTGGATCGGTCCTAATTGATTAATTAATAACTAGATTATCAAATTCGAATTTAATATATGATTAAGATTATCGAAAATAAAATAAAATATAAAATTATATATATATATATATATATATATATATATATATATATATATATATATATATATATATATATATATATATATATATATATATATATATATATATATATATATATATATATATATATATATATATATATATATATATAACATAAATAAATAAATAGATATATTTTTATGTCATATTTTTAAAAACTTTTATACTAAATATTTGATGTGGAACAGTAGATAGAATATTTTCATTAATTATCAACAATTTTAAATTTTCTATTAATGACAATATCAAAATGTTGTTTTAGAGTTAGATTTATGAACTGATTTTTTGTTTAAAAAGGTGTAATAAGTTATTCTGAAATCGAACATTAAATTTGCACAAATCATGTCAACCCTATCTGACGCATGATTTCTTCTTTGATATGCGTGACTTCCTACATCATTTTGCATTTGATAATTGAAACAAACATTAGTTTTGATTTTCTAAATTGTAACGAATTCAATGTTGATTGAATGCACGTGTGAGGTTGATTGAATGCACACATGAGGCTGATGATGGTTCTAAAATCATAGAATTTTGTTGATGATTTTAGATGCAGATTCATGGAAAAGTTAACAAGTTTGCATTTATAATTGATACATACATTAGTTTTGGTTTTTCTAAAATGCAATGTTAGTTGAATGCACGCGTAAGTAATGGTATCAAGTGAGAATTTACATCGATGATGGTTCTGATACCAAAGAATTTCTATGATGATTTCGATGCATATTCATTGATAAGTTAAACGGTGTGCATTTCATAATTGATACGAACATTATTTTCGGGTTTCTAATTTGCAAAGAATGCAACTATGATTGAAGTTCTAGGTCGTGAGTAATGGTATTATTTATTCAGAAGTCATTTAATAACAACGATGGACAAACCTTTTATGAATTATTAGGTGAGATAATACTTGTCCAATATATAGTTAATAACGACAAAGATGTGCACTTTAGTTGAAATAGCAACAGAGTATGATAGTGAAATCGGTATGACTTTCATATACGATTTTTCAAAAACTTAGTGAATGTCTAGCAGTTTAATTGGGTTAATGCTTCTATTGGAAAACATTATGTGTTCATGCTTTAAAAATTTTAACTTCGAAATGTACATGATGATGATTGCAACAATGCATGGTGAGTGCAATATATATTAGTGGCTTGAAAATATTAAACTATTTGAATCATGTAAAATAAACCCTTAAATTATCATAAAGTACTCTTGAAAATGTAGTTCAGCATATAACAGCAAAACATCAAAATCAAAACACATATGTAAAATAACATAATTTAAGCAGATATTCATTAATTCAATCAATAGACTTAATCTTGAACTGATTTTTTGGGGACCTTGGTAGTTGAACACTGGCTAGCATCGCTATCACTTAAAGTTTTGATTTGATCGCCTTCAATGCATCTCTTTAAGGGAAACTTACTAGTTGGAGTATCAGACGCTTAAGTTGACTCAACACATACATTGTTAGTTGAATTAGCAAATTCAAATGTTTCCTAAAAAATATTCTAAACATTAAAATAAAAATTAGCATGGTTCATACCCCTTGATTTGCGTCAATCAATGTTTGAACGATACCACTTACCAGTTGAGTTACAACTCTATCAAACAACAAAAATATCGTCGAGCATGGATCATCTATTACTATAACATGTATCTTATACATGTTATCACACACACACACACACACACACACACACACACACACACACACACACACACATATATATTACATGTGAACAATTGTCTTGTTATTTGGACACAAATGTTATTATCAACAATTGAAACTATAAAGGAACAACGACTAGATGCCATACAATACCATTCAACATTTGTATCAATTTCAATGATAGTTGCGATAGTTGCCAAAATGATTTTGAAATATTTTTTCAATTAAATTTACACTACTACAAAAATAGGATTTAACCTTGGATGCGAAAGGGTTTTAACCTCGGTTTTAGAGGTAAGATAATGAAAGACGTCATGAAAGTTTACCACTTTATCTCTTGGTTATTGTATAACAAAGGGGTAAAGTATTCTTCATATGGGTTCGATCCCTAACAACAAGTTTTTATTAATTTCAAAACCATGTTGTGTGTGCCACGTACCTTTTGGTTTTATTAAAAAACGAGGGAAATACACCCATATTTATGTTAGATTGTGTTAATAACTGAGGGGTTTAACCTTTTTTTTTAAAATCCAACTTTGACTGACCTGGTCGTTTCTTTATACAAAACCTACAAATTATGTGGCAGAATCTTATCATTTGTATTTTATATATAACATAACACAAAATACCAAATTTACATTGTTTACAAAATCAAATGCACAGTGCTTATAAAACTTATAATGACATTCGGGAAACTTAAAACCTCTACCAAGAGAACATATACATATTTACACCTATAATATCAAAACCTTTATAAATGCTAATGTATAGATATAAATCAAGAAAATATGGTGTTTACTATATTCATGATAAGAAAAAATTTACCTTACATGAATTCACTTTAAGATAGCTTAACATAACACTAAGTTCAATTTGCTTTCAATTTCGGTTGGTTTTTGGTCCCCCTGGCTTTTTCTTGTGCCTTCTTTCAGTGAGATCTTTTATTTACATATACTTATTTAATGGCCTTGTATCTTAATCGCCTATCTTTTGATCGTTTTGTTATCTTAGTTAACTTTTAACTCAAGATTAAAATCAACCACTTTCAAAAAGAACAACAATAAATACTCGATCCAACGTCAAGTAATTTTCCCAAATCAAAATCATTTCCACTATCCTAACTTCTCAATCATTTTCAATAAGCAAAAATCTTGGTCTAACACCAAGCGGATCTTTTCAAACCCTCAAATCGTTTTACTCTGTTTCGGTTCAACGCAAATAAAAACCTCAATCAAAATCGATCACATTTTCCCAATTCAAAGTTGAAACACCTAACCATACTTAAACACCATTTCAAAGGGTGAAAAAGGGGATGGTTTAGAGCCTTCGATTCCTGTACACGATTGCTCTGATACAAGTTGCCTTACTCGACCATTCGAGTAATCGTCATCCATTAAAACTTCTAATATGATTCATCTCAAACCGCTTTCGTAATCAAGCTTAATCAAACTTATTTTCTTAATAACTTGGACGAAAAAAGAGGTGGTCTGGAGCATTATATTCCCTTCTTTAAGTACTTGGATACGAGTTGTTGATAACATAAAAATTACATTGTTTATTACGACTTGATTTCACATGTTTTATTGCATTTTGTCACATTTTGTATTGTTATGCTGGTGTTTTGCATTTGCTTCAGGTTTCTCATAGGTAGAAGCGGTCGCACGAAGAAACTGGATAGAAACGACGCAAAACGAAGAAAATATAGTGAAAATACAAGGACGGTGGCCTCCGTGGCGCTAGTCACAGAGCTAGTCGTGACTAAGGAGCAGGTGGAGTCCACAAGAAGAGAGAAAGCAGCGAAAAGTCTAAGTCAAAGGCGCCCGTCATGAGGCACAAATGGCGCGTCCACTCGTGTTGGTCAGGTGGTGACCGCCACAACCCAATGGCGCCCGACGTGGCCTTCAGTTTCAAAAGTTTGCAGTATAAATTGACCATTTCCTTCCCACTTCACCTGTTTTTCCTTCACACGAATTCATTATGTGAAGACTTTGTCTTTAGTGTATGAGACACTATGAATGGAGGATTTTAGGAGAATTTTAGGTATCCAAGTTTGTATGTAAAAGTAGTACTTTTAGTTTTAAGCAATTACCATTGAAAATTAGTAAACTTCTTACATTGAGGAGCTACTACACCATAGATTTAAGGAATTTATCCGTAAGCTTGGATCAAAATAATCATGTTAACATTAGAGTTATTTCCATTCTGTTCGTTTGTACTTGAAGATTATTTCAGAGTTAATTCCAGTTTTATTTTTAGGTTTCTTTATATTGCTACTTTAAGTTGTTTTTACTATAATTGCTTGCAATAATTCAATTCAAATTAATTATCATGTTGTTGTTAGTTTCAGATATTAAGAGTTGCATGTTCAGGTTTAATATCATGTTTTGCTAAGTTGTTTTGAGTCCGGAATGTGATGACCATCGTATCAATGGGACTCAGTAGACCAAGGACAAACGATTTCTTAATTTAAATTATATTTTCGGTTCTGAACTTTGGATTTTTAAAAGTAAAACATTCTATGCGACAGCAAAAACATTCAGATACCGGCCAATAGTGTGAGAGTGTGAGACCGGTATGTGACAACAAAAGTTTGGATCTTTAGTTTTTAAACACCGCGACAACTCTTTTTAAATTAATTAGGACTTGTAGATTTTCAAAAATTGGTTGGAATCTGCAATTGAGTAAGCGTAAACAAAGTAATTGCGGTGTCGATCCATAGCGCGGGCTGCGCGAGTGATTAGCATTTTCAAATCTTACTTTCCTTCGAAAAGAATTTTAAAACAAAACAAATGCCAAGGTTTACATGAGTACCATAAATACGCCGAGAATTGCATCCCAGTCTTGCCTTTATCAATTATTTCTTTAAAGTCGATCTTATTTCTTGTTCTTATTTGACTTTGCAAAAAAAAAAGTTTACATAGCAACAGTAGACAATGATAGGTTTGATTATTGATCCTTGTGAGTTCGATATCTATTAAAACTACAGCAGGTTTTATGCGCTTGCGGAATAGCCCCAT